TAAATTAATCGAAGAATTAGAATTAGAACAAGAATCATCAGAAATAGAGTCAGAATCAGAACAAGAATCATTTGAATCAGAATCAGAATCAGAACAAGAATTATTATATTTTGGAGAAGGAAATACTCATTCAGTTAAACAAATAAATTACAGGAGCGGTCAACATAAACGGTTTATAGAAAATTTATTAAATGAAAATGCAATTATAACTAATATTTTTCCTCAACGACGTGGAGATAATGGAATTGATATCATCGCTACATTTAATAGAAAAATCATTCTAATTAAATGTATTAATTTTAATAATCCTATTTATGATAACGTTTTAAGAGAATTTCAAGCTTCAATTCACCGGTTTGGAGAAGGAATATTAAGTATTATTGTTTATAATAGTGAAGAATCGGATAACCCTTTAATTAGGAAAAATAAAGGATCACATTCTAAAGTTAAAATTCTTAATGAAAAAACGATTATCAATTATATCAAAAATAATTTGACAAAGAAAACTCCAGACCATTCGAAGATAGCTTCACATTTACAAGAGAAACCCCATAAATCTTCACATAATGAATACGACGAATTACTTGATGATATATTGAATCATGCAGTTTTTAGAAATGATTATCAATTTGATCAAAGTGTATCACACAATGATACGCCGGTTATGGACAGGCAAGAAGCATTGAGATCTCCAGAGTTAAGAAGAACGACGCCAAGTGGTAATGTGAAAGTAGATGAAGTTGGCTGGGAATGTCATAATATTAATTCGGTTGAAAGGAGGAGAAATAATGATGTTTATTATTTAGATGAACAAATTGATAATAATCATGACTATAATGGTAAATTATTAAATAATGTCGTTAAAGCACCATACGGTGGAAATTCATCGAGGGATATAACTCAGGATGATGAAATTCCCAAAACCAATAACAATTCATGGAGTTGTCCAAAATGTACATTTGATAATATTCAATTGATGTCGCGATGTGAGATGTGCTTAACTGAACGACCGGATACGCAACAACCACAAAGTTTTACACCTACTGAACCTTCAAGTCCACAATGGAGTTGTCCACAGTGTACATTTATGAACGAAAGTGATGTGATTATGTGTATAACATGTGATTACTTTAAGGATGACTAAATATTGTTATCAAGATTTTTTCATAACTATAGATTTCTTATATTTGTTATTCTGTCGACTGTTAATTGACACATATCATTTTTTTAAATTTATTTGATATGATAATTACGTATTTATCAATAAGACAAATAAAGCTAAATGTTTTTTTGTCATCAATAATATGGATAAATGATTCAGTGTAAATAAAACTTTATATTACAAAAAAAAAAAAAGTGTGTTTGTGGTGCTACTCTTTTATACAGTATTTGTTCTGCATCATACCCGAAGGGAAATTTTAAGCATCAGGTTGAAATGCTTATAACTAATAATATAATGACAAAGACAGAACAATAAAATATATAGCTCTTGTATTCTTTACGACAGGTTCAAAGGTGACTAGGGATGTTACGGTCCGGCCCAGGTTCAAAAAGACCAGTTTAGCCTTTGAACTGCGGATCGGACCGAAGACTACAAACCGGTCTATTTGAAGCTCTCTGATTGGCTACAATAAATAT